TTTCATTTCTTTATGATTTTTACAATATTAAAAAATTAATTTTAGTATATTTATATTAAAATTTTATTTTTTATAAAATTTTTATACCATCATTTTTAATATGAAAAATTTTAAAAAAACTCATAAATATAATTTTAAAGTAAAAAATTTCAAGACATTAAAAAATAACAGAGAAACGAGATAGAAAGAGTAGGAATTTGCTTCTTAATTAAAAACAAACTTATTCCAATTGGAAAATTTTTTTCTTTTTTTGTTTTATTTTCTACCACAATTGCGAAATTAATTTATGCCAAATACGGCCTTAGTGTCTAAAACTGCAGGCAAATTCCATTGTTCCGTGGAAGATTCCACATATACATCCGGTATTAACGTTGAATAAAAAGAAATATTTACAAGGTTCGTTGCACCTTCTGTCCATTTCTGGTTGCAGCAGAAAAATGTGGCCACAAGGCTCCACGTCACGTTCCATTTTTATCAGCTTGAATATATATGGCAAACAAGGGAAAATTCGTATCATGCCTTTTTTTTTGGTCAACCAAAATGCAAGAGAAAACACGTGTATTTCGGTCAAGGGTAGAGTCTTAACGTTTAAATTGCACGTGTGGTGGGAGAACTTTCACAGTGTTGTATATGCTATTTTATGACTAGATTTCGAGAGTTTTTCTACGACGCAATCAAAAGACTCTTAGACCCAAATTCATTTTTTCTTCTCCTTTTTTTAATTTTTTGGTAGAGTGGGAGGGGTAATCTAACGGGATATGATCAGATTGAATTGAAGAACAATTTTTACAAGAAAATCGACGAAATCATGATTCCGAACATCTTAAACAGCTTTAAAAAATTACCAATAAGTTCGTTCATGACTTTGTTCAAACACGTGTTTTTGGCTAGTTAATATATATATATATATATATTTATTTATTTGATAATTTAAAATGTGATATAATAATAAGATATAAAAATAATATGAATAAATGATATGAATATAATATGATTTAAATTTTTTTAAAAAAATTATAAAAAAATTATATTTTATATTTTTATATTAACATAAATTATAATACATTATTTTTATATAAAATATAATATAAATATAATATTTTATATGATACGATAACATGAATTATTATATATATCTAGATAAGGTTATTGGTGCACTATGACAAGTTTGCGTTGAAGGAAAGGGGATCGTGGAAATTGACTGTTGACTTAAAAAGATATAGAAAGAAGAAGAGAGAGAGAGAGAGAGAGAGAGAGAGAGAGGAAAAACAATGAAGATGAGGAAGAAAGGAAATGTGTAATCACCCATGTCGCCATAACCAGCAATCCAACATCTTTGACAGTAATTGCAAAAATCATATCTTTTAAGTCTCAAAGATTAATTGAGGTAATAAGGAGTGGAATTTTCTTCCCTTATCAACAAAAAATTTTAATTTTGTGAGGACATTTAGGAATAAATTTTTGAATAGATTAAGTTGATATGAGAAAATATGTCTTTAAAATAATTCATTAAAAAAATTAGACTAAAAAAAACCAAAGATGTATAAGACATCCATCAAATTATTTTTTAAAAAAATTCTTAAGATTTTATACCCTGATTTTTAGATTTACAATTGCGACAAGTTTATGTTATGGATCTAATTTGATTTGGGTTTTTTTTTTTTTAATTGCACAAACTTTTTTGGGGCCCATGAAAATTATTTCCCAACCAAAGGAGAGAATCAATATCCTGATATTTCTTTCACACCGTTTCGGTGTTCACAATGAAATTAATGAATTCCAACTGGAAAACCAATTGCGAGACCAACATCTTCTCATGACAACCAGCATTAAAACCAAGAACTTTCCCATAAATATGAGTGGTAATTAAAATATTAAAAAAATTTAATCATATTTAAGAAATACAATTAAAATTAAGAATTCCAACCTATATATATAATACTTTTTTCGATTCTTAAACTGCGAGTTATCGTTTAAAAAAAAAATGCAAAGATAATGGCTTTACCATGAGGAGATTGAAACCCGGGGAGGGGATATGTGGTAGAGGTTTTCAAGGGGGAAATTTAGCAATAACCCGTTGCCTTTTCGTCAATTGGGGGGGAAATTGGAATCAAACGAGTCTGTTGTTTTGGGCATGGTCAAGGTTTGTCTGCTTCAAGGGAAGGTTGGTTCTTGCATCTTGGAGAAATAAATGCAAAAGGGAGGACATAGCTGGGGGAGTTCCTAACTTGGAGGAGACGTTGACAGATTGATACACTTTTTAGCTTGAAAATTGTATCCTTTTGCCATTGTTTCAGACATTACCTAACACCAACAGAAGCAAAAAGTCCAGAAACGGACCAACTTCAAGATTAAAATCTTCCACAAATTTGACCTATAAGTACAAATTTTAAGATCGTACGTGGTCCTCTTGTTTGATCTAATGGAAGTGCTAATGCCCTGCCAATGCCGCTGCCAAAAGGTTGGTTTCATGATATTTAATTTGTCAAGAAATATCAGGTTTACTTGTTGAGAGTGAATTCAAGTCGAACCTTCAAGTTTTTTTATTATAATAAAAAAGAAAAACAAATTATGAACTGACCAATTCTCATAATTATTATTAAACTACTAAAACCCAATTGTAAATGTCGTGGGTATGTCCTTTTACCGTGTCACTTTTATTTATTCAAATAATTATTTTTTTATTTTATTTTGAAATAATGCAAATTTTGAATTCGATTTTTTAAAATTAAATACTATATGCTATTATTATTAAGTCAAATGATGACATACATTTAGCTAAATAAATTTTCTTACAAAAGAGATCAACATCCTAATAAAATTTTAAATATCAAAATTGAAATCGAATTTTGCGAGAATTTATTTTTTTTAAAGTAAGTAAATTGTTTGTCTTAAGCCTCATGTACGGTTTATAATGCTTTCAAATACTTAAAAATAGTTTTGATAAGTATTGCTATTAAAGTATGTCTCATTAAAATACCATTTGAAGTGAAGTTAGGTCATTAATCCTTTTGACATTTTATTGGTTTAATGCATGTGGCTTTGGGAGTTTGCTTGCAATTTGTCCCTTAATGGCATTTGTATGGCCATATGCACCAACCCACATTCAAAACCTAATAAATGCTTCAAGCCAAGAGGGGTTCTCTTTCAAAAATTTAATAAAATTATTAATACTTTAATAATATTATAGACTATCTAGGAAGACTTTTAAATTCAATTTTCATTAATAAAATTATTAATTTAGGTTGACTTAAGATCCAATATTTATTTATTTATTTATTTTTTACTAAGCTAAAATTTATTAAAGCAACTATAAGATTACAAAACTAATCAAGACTAGCAATGACAAAATCTCAAATGCCAATATAAATTCATTTGAGAATCAAAGATCACCTAAATGTAAGTTAAAGAAGAGCACCCTACTACTAGTTCTTAAAGATAGTCAAAAAGCGATCAAGAAACACAAATAAGAATCCAAAATATGACCAATTATGAAAAGCCCACCACACTTAAGTTTTAAAGTAGAATGTAAGAAATTAAACATTGAATACAAGAAGAAATATATTAAGGGATTCATGGTAGATAGCAAGTAACAACGAGCTAATGATTGAATGACCGCACAAAAACACCACGAGACATCCCATGAAACTAATTGCTTGTATTATCATTTGGATCCCACCATAAGATCCAATTTTTATAATATTTCTTTTCGAGTCAAATAAATATATAATTTTCAGATGCGAAATATAAAATTAGTAATGGTGTTTTGTCTCAACAAATAAGTAAAAAGTCTTAAGATCTAAATAGTTATAAAGCATATGTTAAAAGTTGTTTGATTGTGATTAAAATCTTTACTGCCAGTAATCTCATCAAAGAAAAAAAAAAAAAAGCAAGGAGTTTAGCATAAATTAGCAAGATAGAGCGGAAAGACAATCAAGCATTGCGGAGGAAGTTTCAGAGCATATTATGGGATCATAATGACGTTAAAAGCATGAAGCACATGTTAAGGGGAGATGATAACGCATTACTCCTGCCTTGAACTCCCATAGGGAAAAGCTGTGATCAAGTCAAAAATTTTGGCAGATCTAGCGTAAGTATGATTTTTGATTTACCTCTTCGGCCTAAAACAGCTTGATTTTGGTTTCCCATCTTGCTTTATTCATGTCACTTTCGTATCTCCATGTGGCATCATATTCAGATCCTTCCCTCTGATTCTTTAAAAGAGTTGTCATATATAATTCCTTCAGTGTATGATCCTGGTTTTAATTCACTTTTGGAGCTAATGGACCCATCTGATCATTCTTCAGGAAAGTTTACGGAGAGGAAGAATATTATCTGTTGATCAGCCAGGACAGGTTCTCACTTGATGGACATTGATGACGGCACCAAGAAGCACCGGTAGGCTGAACATTAGGACTAAAGTGTTATGGCAATCTCGAATATAACATGATAATATAATATGAAAATGAATAAAATACATGAAAAAAAATACAGTTTAAAATTTTAATAAAAACTATAATTAGGTTTAACAAAATTAAAAACAAATATATTTCATATTTTCGTATCGACAAGAATTATAATATATAATTTTCATGTAAATACACAAATTGTCATGACTAATTCAACAGCATTCTTAGCCCTGATTTAGTTTTGTACTCTACCAACATCCATTGAAAATTATTCTTACTCGAATAATAATTCTAAAATTTTAATTAAAGTTGAATTTAATTATTTTATGCAATCACACGTTTATATTTCAAAATTTTAGTTTGCCTATTGTTTATATTTAATTTTTATTTTATCTTTAATAAAGCAAGACGATCAAAATCAAATCAAATCAACGATGATTAATGAAGCCCGATAAGCTTAATCAATCTCTCTACATGGGCCAAAGCAAGATAAACCCACTAGCCCAAAGACCAGGATTCTTGATCCGGTCCACAGGTGTCCAATTCCCTAAATACCCCCAGCAACAAACGGGGACAAGACAGGAATAACGTAAACAGCCGAGCCATTTTCCGTCATTTCACTCCTCCAAATCCTCCCCTTCTTCCTCCTCCCTCGCCGGGCGTTTTACTTCCCACCAAGGTTTCCTCTTCACTGATTAGCTCCTCCGCATATCCGTACGTTCTTCCCTTTCTTTCTTTCCCTTTTTTTTTTTTTTAATACAGATCTAATATTCCAATTTGAATTATTTTTTCTTAAATTAAAATTTTGATTTCTTTTTAATTTCCGTCTCTTTTTTTTTCCTTCATTTTTCTTCAATCTCGAATACCTTAGATCAAATTATTATGTATTTCTCGTTTGTTCTTTGTTTTTGAGCTTTGGCGCCTTAGTTTCTGTAATTTATTATCCACTCCATTTCATTTTAATGTTGTTTTAATTGTTTCTTCGTTCGATTAAATTGTTGATTCAGTTAAGGTGAATTTTTTAAGTTTTATTTTCAATAATAATGTGATTGAGATATTAATGGACCGTTTTAGCTTAGCTATCTTGTAGCTTCGAATCTTGCATTGAATGAAATTCATGTTGTAATTTTCAGATAGATTTGAACACTGAATTTTGATTAGTAATTTTGTTGCAGGAGTCAAATCCATTCGTACTTATCGCCGAAGCTTAAGATTGGTAATTTGAGGTTAATCTGTTTCTATTGTGATTGGCTGTTTTTCTTTCCTTTTTTAGTGTTAATTCTGATTTATTTGTTGCATGGTTTTGTAGCTATTTTTGGTTAGTTTCTTCTTGGAAGAGTTTTCAGTTTGTCACATGAATTATATCGAAACATAACTTTGAAACTGATTGTTGATATTAAGTTATAATTTTGATCATTATAAGCTTTGGCTTATTAGAAGTTCTATATATGGAAGAATACTTTGAACTCATTGGAAAAAAATGGGGATTAACTTATTTGATATCTTAACTTATTTTGCAAATCTTTGTCCAATGCAAACTTGTAGATCGTTCTTTTTGAAAGTTGATATTAATTTGTTTATCTAAGACTCAGATTAGTCCTATCAACTTCCTTTATGTTTGGTAGGGAGGATGGAAAATTTTTTAATCTAATGGCTGAGATTAAAACTTTTTCCTTTCTTTCCCCTTTCCATCCTTCCTACCAAATGAATGGTAAGAGTCAAAATAGCATATATAGAATATATCTTATGGTTGTAAATTTTTGTTGTTGCCCTTTCAACAACAACAACAGCAACATTAACAAACTAAACTAATTCCCAAAATGTATTTGTGGTTGGCTATACGATTTATAATTCACCACTATACTTTATTCAAGCTATGGTCTCAGTAAGCTCAGTGAAATTGAAGTTCATTTGTTTAATTTCTACTGCATCCTTGTTGGTCTCCTTTCCCTCTCTTGATATTGGTATCTTCTGTTAAATCACATCTTCCCACGGGGGTATGTCTAAATCTTTATGTTTCCAAACCACCCCAAATGTGTTTTCCTCATTTTGTACTCAATGTTGGCAACCTCCATCTTTTCCTTTATACTTGCACTCTTAATTTTATCTTTACATGTCCAGGCTTTTAATCATCTTTCTCATGTCAGTCACACTCATTTGTTCTGTACCCAACATTCAGTCCTGTAAAACATTGTCAGTCTTATTGATGTCTAGCAAAATTTTCCCCTAGGTTTTGATAGAGTTTGTGGTTACACAAGACTTCCAAGTTCCAATGTATCTGGTAATGTTTTCCTCCCATAGATTATGCATTTTCGTCCTTTTCCTGAGTTTAGTGGAACATATACTTTACCTCTCTTGTACGCTGTTGATGACCTTGCTGTTCTGGCATGAGTTGCATTTGTGAATATGTTGGCTGCATCTTTGAGGGCTTGATGCTGTTTTTTTTTTTTTTGTTGCCACATAGATAGAATTCTTTGAAATCAGATTTTTTACTGATATGAATTCTTTTTTTTTTTTTTGCAGATGCTTTTGTAGCAATATTCTAATATAACGATTGATACAGTGAATAGAACTGAAAATGGAGTTGAATAGCCTGAAAGATGCATTTGATCGTGTTGCAAAGAAGCAAAAGCTGTCCTGTTGTAAAACTCAGGAAGTTACGGACCAGATTGTTCAAGAAATAGAGAAGGCAATTGAAGTGATTCAGTCAAGAACCCTTGATTATAAATCTGTACTTGCTGACCTGAAGAAAAATTTGCATAAAATTGCTCCACTCTGTCAGCTAGAAGGCACCCAGAAGGAGCTCAACATAGTGCTGAGCAAGTATCCAAAAGCTCTTGAGAAAGTCCTTAATCCTGATATATCCAAGGCTTATCGAAATATTGAATTTGATTCCCATACAGTTAACCACATAATTGCCAGCCATTTCTATCAGCATGGGCTGTTCGAGGTTGGTGATTGCTTCATAACCAAGTCTGGGGATGTAGAATCTGCTGCTGCTATGAGATCTCCTTTCCAGGAACTTTATCAAATACTTGAAGCCGTGAAGAGTAGGAACCTAGAGCTTGCCCTGAAATGGGCAGCCACAAACTCTGATAAACTGAAAGAAAATGGTTCGGACCTTCAGCTGAGACTCCATCATTTGCAGTTTGTGAAAATACTACAAAAGGGAAGGAGAGACGAAGCACTCAAGTATGCAAGAACCAACTTTGCTTCTTTTGCTGGTAACCACATGGCTGAAGTCCAGAAACTCATGGGGTGTCTTTTGTATTCTGATAGACTCCATGAGTCCCCATATGCTCGTTTATTATCGCCAACCAATTGGGATATAGTGGCTGAGGAGCTCACCAGGCAGTTCTGCAATCTTCTGGGGCAATCATATGAGAGCCCATTGAGTGTGACAATAGCAGCAGGAGTGCAAGGGTTGCCACCTCTTCTAAAGTTTATGACTGTTATGGCAGGGAAGAAGCAGGAATGGCAATCAATGAAACAGTTGCCCGTGCCAGTGGAGTTGGATAAGGAGTTTCAATTTCATTCTATATTTGTCTGCCCTGTATCTAAGGAGCAATCAACGGATGATAACCCGCCAATGCTGATATCGTGTGGTCATGTGCTCTGCAAACAGTCTATCAACAAGATGTCAAAGAATGGCTCAAAAAGTTTCAAGTGCCCTTACTGCCCAACCGATATCAATGCAACATTATGCAGGCAGCTGAATTTCTGATATAAACCCTAACATGTACATGGGGTTGTACTAAAACCTGTTTCCTTAAGACTGAATCGAAAGAAATTGTTATGGTGTTGCCAATGTGGTCAGATGGTGGCAATGCCGGTCAGTAATGGTGTACTGATTGTTGATGAACTTGTTGTAAATAGAAATTCTTTCCTCATTCATGCTGGTAATCGAAACCAAGTTGCAGCGCCTAAAACAGTAGTATATGGAATCTGGGACGTTAGTTGTGGGCTGGACTGTGACATACTGTGCTATATATTGGGGAAATATAGCCATCATTTCGAATGGGCCTAAAGGTTAGCTGGTAGATATGCGATCTTTCCTATAGCCCTGCAAATAAACAAAGTATCATGAAATACTTTATTTCATTCTTTTCTTTCAAAGAGATTGATTTCCAGCCCTGAATAGTATATTAGCATCCAATGTTTGCCTGTAAATGAAGATAGGATTAGGTTTTTCCTCTTGCAGAAAAGTTCTTCCCTTTTTCCCTAAAAATGCTTCTATGAATAACTGTTAATGGCCTCTATATTTGCATTGTAGCTTCTCAAATATATGAAATTACACCAACTTGTATAAGCTGAAATTAATAGCGATGTCAGTAGTGGATTTAGATGATAGTGTAAATAATGGTTGACCTCTCCTAGCTAAACTCTAAATTTATCATATTAAAGTCGTACTTAAAACATTAGTAGGAATATATATTGAAGATGCGCCTGTTAAAATCTTCAATATGAGTTTTTTTTTTCGTGTATTATTAATTTTTTTTGTATGGATGCAATTTGAAAATAGAAGGAATTGTAAATGTTAAAATTTAAACTTTAAAACTACCTAATAGAGTTAGTTGTATGATAAAAAAAAAAATTGACTATTTGATTAATTTTTTAGTATAATATAAACAAGTAATGCAAGATGCACATATTAAAACAAGAAGGCAAATAAAAGGGAGGCATTCATCAATGCCACCAAAAGCTTAAAAAAGTTCTGCGCAATTTGAGGAAATCATCAGTACCCCAAAAGCCAAGGAAAGGAAGACAGAGGAAAGGAAAGAGCTTTGATCACTAACAAACACCGTTTACCCTTTTTAAGCTTCTAAGTTTATCTTCACCCTTGCCTACATATATTATACTATTTTTCACGTAGATTTAGACTTCAAAAAGATTTTCACTGTAATCAAAGCCATGCTAACGTAAATTTTTTTTTTTTTTTTACATTAACAAAAAAGTGTTGGATCCTATCAAATAGGAGAAGCTTATTTTTATGATAATAAAATAAAATAAAATAAAATAAAAATGTGGTCCTTGGATATTTTTTATCTTGATGGAGGGGGATTCTTTCTTATAGCTTTGCCATGTGATTACTTACTGCTTTATTTTAGGATAGAGATGTTCAAGTAGTTTTTATTTGTAAACTAAGGTGATTTCATAATTATATGTGGTCCATGTCTGCTTAATTTCAACCATGTCATCAACTTCTACTTCTTCAAGATCATGAGACTAAAGAGCCTACAAATTTTTTTTTTTTCCTTTCTTTTGGTATTTGGAATATGTTTCTTGTAGTTTTTTAAAGGTAAAATGTTTTTGGATTCGTCTAATATATTTTTTTCCTGAACACGTCTAAGCAGGATTATTTACATTAAATTTAACGAATTCATGAAAAATTATTTTTTTATAACCTTTCAATAGCTTTAAACTAAAAAGAAAAAAAGAAAAAAGGAAAAGCAAACTCTTTTTATTACTTGGACCAACCTTCATTGCCATGTTTCTTAGTTTTGAGCTATCAATGTAGAAAACCGTTGCTGCCAATCGCCAAAGTGCCAACAACTTTGAGTGTTGGAAAGGAATTATCATTATTAGGAGGTTTGACAAATTAATGAAAAATAAATTTCTTTCTTCTTAATTTCCATCAACTTGCAACAACTGAAATCCTCCGCCTCTCACCTCAAATGTTAGAATGCTTTGAAATTTTTGGCATGAATTAATTCTTTGTCAATGACTTAAGAAACACAATTCTTTCAACTTACAACTAACACAATATCTAAATTTGGAAATGTTTAAAGAAACAATTTTAAGTATCAAATTTTCTATATATATATATATAATTATAACTCATGTCATTCTGAAAAAAAAAAATAGCATTAAAATTTCGACATTGATGATGAGGCAGAGCCTTTTATCCCTTTCTATACCTTATGACAGCCAGGGGAGTTGTCCTCTTTATTGTTTCTTTTGTTATTTTTTTCATTAAATCGTTGATGTTTCTTTTTTGTACATGTCTCTTTTTAGGTTGTAGGAAGCTGACATAATTATGGCCAAGCACAATGTAGGCAACTTCTAGTTGTACATACATGAATTTGAGTGTGCAATGCATGCACCTTTTCCTATATTTCGTATGACATCTCCACTTTCATGCTGTTTTTTCCCCAACTTCTATATATATATATATATATATATATATAATGAATTGCTACTAATCCTTCCCATTGATTCATTGTTATCAACGGATTTAGGATTTTTTAAAAATATTCACTTATAATATATATATTATAAAAAATTTAATAATTTTATTGACGAAGAAAAAGTTAAAGATTTACCTATAAAAATCTTCCCTCCCTTTTAGATAAGCAATCTCTCTTTCATATGATCGGAAAAGAGATTCAATTTTTTTTTGGAAATAAAATAAATCCACTTTCTCATTTACACCTATGCAAGCACTTAGAATGTTTTGATTAGTGATTAGTCTAATTTAGATGATTGAGCTCTTTTGTATGGGCACTAAGAGAGCAAATCTCTCTAGTGCGGGACACATGAGCCGCACATATATATAAAAAAGGTAAAATAAAATCATGCTCCATTCATTTTTTTCCCCCTTTGTATTCATTGTACACATCAATTCTCGAAATGTCTAATAAATTGAACATGAGATTTTTAACTTAATTAATTTACCCATATCTTTTAAAAATTTAACATTTTGATTGTTTTTTTTTTAAATGCTTAATGAATTGCTATATAGAATTGAAAACCCATCATGGGAATACTAGCAACAAAGAAAAAATATTGTCTTTAACTTTTCAAAAGCACATTGACCATGATTAAGATTAAAAGATTAAGTGGCAAAAAAAAGAAAAAAAAGAAAAAAAATCCTGATTTGAACAAAAATTCAAGACCTTCTTCTATCTTAACAAAATTATATTACTAATGGTTTTGCATTACAAAACAGTCGGCTGAAAAAGAAGAAAAGTTGAAAAAAAAAAAAAAAACTAAAACTAAAATCTGGCATTTTCAAATCCATGCAAATCGCTGACTCTATTCATATGCTTCCTCATAATCGCCAGTTTAGCCAATCTCTCAGCGGCTTTCCAGGCCGACGTCGGAGTTAACGGCTCAGCTTTTTCCTCAACTTGACCATTATTATTATTTACCATTTGTCTGAGGCGCCGCCGGTTCAACTCGGCTAACTCGATTTCTAACCTGCGAATAAATTCCTCAGCCGAGCTCGAACCCGATTGCATCAACAGAGCTCGAGCCGAGGTAAGCAAATGGTGCGCCCCCGAAAAATCGTTCCGCTCTATCAACCGACGAGACTCCGCAACGGCACGCGTGCTGACGTGAAGGTTCTTCAACCTCTCGATGCTGTGCGACGAAGATCGTACGGACTGTGGCGGCCGAGGTATTAACAGTCTTTGATGCCTCGAGTAGACCATCTCCTGAGTAAATGGATCTTTGTAAGATGATCGTACGGACATTGTCCTGTGGGACCCACTAGTAGATACGGGTACTTTTAGTTCCAACAATAATTCTTTCTCCTCGTCAGAATACAAATCTCCGACCCACACTGATTTCGACCCGACTGAGGCTAGTCGGGTCGTCAATGAATAGACCGATGAAATCTCGGCTGGGGCTGACCCGGATACGAATCCCAGTTGAAGCCTGACATCCTGAACCACCACGCCTAAAAGACCGTTCACGATTTTACAGAACGCGTCGTCGTTTGGAGCGTGAGTGCACGTGTCGAGACCGATGGAGTGCACGGGGATTTCTAAATGCGCCAGCCGCGTTGTTGAAACAACTGGGAGGTTCTGATTGGGGGATTTCGTTTGGGACTGTTTATCCTGACCGTCGGATAAGATCATGATGCTGGCAACGGCGTTTTTCTCTCTACGATCTTCCAAAACTTTGGCCGCCTTTTTAAGAGCGTCGTTGACACTCATCCCTTGCCCGTTACTCCCTTGCGCGTCAACAATCCTTTTTGCAGATCTCCGTCCGCTGGAACTCATCCTAGTCAACGGCAACAACCGTTTCGAACTCGACGAAAAAACCACGATCGACAATCGGTCGGTTTCGTTAAGCAAAGAGATAACCAAACTCATCGCTCGTTTCACCATCTGTAACCGCATCCCAGCCCCGCTGACGTCCAAAACCGTAACCAAATCAATCGGAGCCCTCTTCATCCCACGGGTCACGGTTGGCGCGTGCACTTTCATAACCACCACATAACTTTCATAACACCTACCAACTGCCACCCTCGCCGCATCTTGTAACAACCTAACTTCCACATTTCTTGCATTAACTCCAATTTCTTTCGCACTCCTCGGAGTAACGACAAACCCTTGGAATTCCTCTTCTACGTCGTCGTTTTCGGTTTCTTCGGATTCAGGAATGGGATTAAACTGAGAAAGAGAAAAAGGGCAGGCCAATGGTTCATCGTCGTTATATACCCGAAGCGATTTCGTTTTGATGTTTTTGAGAGATGACTTGTTAGGTTGCTCGGGTGGTTGAAGGGAGAGTAAAGGGAGCTCTTTCCAGGTGGTGGAACAGATGGGGCAAATTAGTGATTGTTGCTTTTTGATATGGGCGGCGACGCAAGGGAAATGAAAGGAATGGGAACACTCCGCCGTGAAAATCGCCTTGCCTTGGCCCGTTTTGAGGCTTTGTAAACAGATTACACATCGACCACCCTGAAATAAATATAATAAAATTACATAAAAGGACAAAATTTTGAATAAAAAATATTTAAAAATGAAATATGAGAAACAAAGCTTACTTTGGATAGGCGGAGAGGGGCTTTAAAGAAGGAGAAACTCGAAGGAGATTTAGGAGAGGAAGGATTGGAGAAATGGGATGTTTTGCAATGGAGTTTGGGGGTATTGGGAAGTGAAGAAGTTGGTGTGGAAGTGGTTCGGCAACGAAGACCTGGGCTTGAAACGGGTTGAGATTGTAACCTTGGCGTTGATGGGTTGGAGAAAAACCCAAACTTTGAGGTAAATTTTGGACTTTTGGTGCTGTTGCTTTGCTGATGTTGTTGTTGTTGTTTTTCTGGTAAAACTGGGCTGTCTTGTTTCTTGGGAATGGAAGTGCAAAAAGCTCTTCTCCAGCCAGTCACCATTTTGGAAACTCTCTTTCTTTCAGTTGAACTTTTTCTCCAGTGGTATTTTAGTTTAAAAGCAAGAATTTGGTTCGCTAGAGAAGGGAAGAAATGGATTGAGCATGGAAATGGATTTGAGATAAAAATTTAAAAGAGAGACAAAAAGAAGTGGATTAGATGGAGAGGAAGAGATTGGAGAAAGACAGAGAGGACGCCAAAAGATCACTGCTTTGCTTTCTTTTTTTTTTCGTTTCTTTTCTTCCCTATCACCCTGTTTCCCTTTCAGGTTTTCTTTATAATGTTTGCTTCTCTTTCGAAATCCACCCCCACAAAAAAGATCACTGCTTCCAACAAAAGCCCTTACTGCTAGATACCAAAAAGGGTTTTAGAAATCCTTCTCTTTCTCTCTCAAATGAATTGTATAAATCTATATAGTTACATATATACATACACTCTGCAATTGAAGAAACAAAGCAGGCTCATTTACAAAGTTTGGAATAATAATAAATACAAAGTAAAGTTACTACTGATAATTCAAGAGATATCTATTTAAATAGAAAAAGAGAAAAAAAAATTGGGGTCTTGGGATTGACAAGGGTAACTGGGAACTGGCAAGTGTAGGTTCTTACCTCTTATCAATCAACGGTTTGGCTTTTTCTTTATCATGAAACAGTGTCTTTTCTCAATTCTCTGAAATCCCACCCACGTTACACCTTCATTTTGAGTCACCGACCTTCGTATGAATTGACCCTTTGCTTAAGACAGCATTTCTTAACTCACACTTTCGCCTTACTCTTCGCCAAACTCGCTTCTTTTCTAACAAACAAAATTTTCGGAGTTCCCCTGTTTCTTTTTTTCTTTTTTTTATTTACTGCTATGAATTTTTTTTTTTTTCATTCTGGGTTTTGTTTCTTTCTTGGGGTTTTCGGGGTAGTTTCAACTATCAATCAATGCTGTGTAACAAATGAAGTTTTTGAGAGATATGATCCTGACTGGTAAATCTGTGATTTTTTGTCCCACTTATGGTGGGTCAATTAACAAGTGATGTAAATGAATTGAGAGAGGGTTGGGATCTTCAAGATATACTTGCATAGTTGCATTGCAACGTCTATATCTTTCTTCCATTGTGGATAGGAAAGGAGAAAACAAATTACAGATGATGGGGTCTATTCTCCATTGTTCATTGGCGGTGATTGCCCAAAGGATAATACTTAGGTGAAATTTTTTAAGTAAAATCGGTAATTTTTAAAAAAAATTAATAAATTAATTAATACATATATAAAATTTATATATTATTAATGAATTAAAAATATTATTTTATTAATAAAATTATTCAAATAATATAATTTCATTAATAAATAAATTTTTATATATTTATTTAAAAATTTATATTATTCATTAATAAAATGATATAATTAATTACAATGTATAAAATTTATAAATTGATGATGTATCAAATATAAATTTTCAATAAATATTATAATAAAAAATTTAAACTACTAAATTAATAAAGATCAACACAAAAATCAATAATATATATTTAATTTTAATTTTAATTTTTATTTAACAAATTTTATAAAAAATTTTACAAATTTCATTTAAAAAATTATATTCAAGTCTTTTTCGTTACATAATGGATAAAAGAATAACTGCCATTATCTTTTTTTTTTTTTTTGGGACAACAATTCCTAAGGATCGAATAAAAAAACCAAATTACATTCGTCTACTGTTGTAAAGGATTAAAGATGGAGACAAACTACGGTTGTAACGTGCGAAGGATTAAAGAGGGAGACAATCGTAACCCCAATTCCATGAAATCCAAGGTGTTTAGAATTACACTTAATAATCGTAACCCCAATTATAGCTTGCTCTTATTTGCCCACTAGCAACTGCAATTTCAAATTTTTTAGTCTAAAGGATTTTTTCTATAAAAATTATAAATATATGGGTATTTATATTCATAATTATGTATCATATTTATATATAACAAATTACAAAGTAATTAATTAAATATTACTTTAATTATAATTTTTTACAAAACAAATTATAATTTAAAAATAAAAAATATTATAAATATTAAAATTTAAAATTATTAAATATCATTTCTTAAAAATAAATAATGTGATAAACTTTGGGTTATTCTTTTTATTTTCATGTTCACATTTTCTAAAAAAAATCTCAAAATAAATTATTTGCACATCAATTATTTGTACTTTTGAAATTATTTGAAAATACTCCTTAACAACCGCATTAAAATCATTACATTGTTTTCTTGAACATATATATATATATATTAAGCAAATTAAAAAAAAAAAAGAAAATTAAGAAAGAAAATTCTTATAAATTTCAATTTTTGCAAATTTTCTTACCAGTTCTTGCTTTATATGCATGCATGCATGCATGTGTGGCTAAGCTAATTTTGTCAATGAAGAATATCATGGAATATGATGAAGATCAACTGCAAAAGTAAAACTTTTTTACTTTTTTGCAAATTTGCAAGAGAAATTTAAAAAAAAAAAACCATCATTGATATTTCCATTTAAAATTATGTTAATAAATGTAGTTTGACAAAGGATTTTGTGATAATACCATAAACATGCAATCAAAAATTCATAGTTCTTAGTAAATTTGAAATTCACTTTAGAAGTTTAAAATATGATTAGACATGAACATTGAAAAGAAAATTATATGGAAGGGGAGAGAAATTAGAGAGAATGTGACTTGAAGTTGTAATCATTCTATTCAAAGTTAAGTGTAATAGTAAATGTAGTTGGTTAATTAATTTATGGACGTATGGTTATATCATAAGTAAACTACAAATTGAACCTCACAATCATTAGGAATATTGAAATTCAAATTTTAGAAAATTTAAATTTTAATTTTGAAAATAAAATTATTATGACAATTTTCTAAAAAATGTCAGAGACATTAGATAATATGATTTTATTACATTCAAAGAAATTAAATTGTTAGTAAGTGTATTTGGTGAGATATTCAAGTCATTTAATGATATATTTTCTCATATTGATGATTTTATTTTGGAATTTTTTTTTTTATAAAAATCGAATTTTCATTGACAAAAATTTTTTAATCAACTGAATAATTGAGAAATTTATATTTATATATTTGTTATTTTGTGAAAAAAAAATAAATTTGAAAAGCACTGATGGTACCAGACATACGTCTAAGAGTGCGGCATGGATGGTACCTTCCCAAAGAGAAAACACGTAAGAGACAGTTGATTTGACTGTTGACAGTTTGTCAACAGTCCGTAATAACCGTCGCACTCACGTGCGCACCTCTTCAACGCCGTTAGGTCATTTCAACAACTGGCTTCGTCAAACTTTTAACGGCCATGAACCACCGTTAGTCTAAATCCCTCATTTTTTTTTCACACTCAGAAACAAGTCAACAGTAAATCACCGCTGAATCAAATACGTATATTTCCGTTTAACAAGAAATTTTTTTTTTAAGTTTTGCTTTTTAAAGTTTGAAATTGATAGTTTATTCGATTTTTCAAAGCATAATAGCCTGTGCATTTTATGCCTAATAAATTATATATTTGAGATTAAGAGTTTAAACTAATCAAATATAAATAAATTAATATATATTTATAATTTATTTATTTATTTTAAAATTATTTGTATTTAATTTATATTTTAAAAAATTATTCATTATATTCGAGTCTAATTCATTTAAATGATAGTATATTTATATTTGATTTATATTCGATTCATGTAAGTTAAATAAATATGTTTATGAGTAATAAATAAATTATAATTAAATAAATTTAAACAAATAAATATATAATTATAAAATTAAAAATAAATAAATAATAACCAAATACAAACAAACTTAAAATAAATATAAACAAATCTTAAATGAACAGATTTTAAATAAATTTATTTATAAATATAAATAAATCAAATAAATTTTTATTCGTATTTAATTTATTTAATAAATAAAAATAAAAATATTATTTAAAATTATTTATTAAATTTAATAAATAAATAAAAATCAAATATGTTTATAAATAATTCATTAAAAGTTTTATTCATTTACATTCTTTTTGAGATTAACATTTAACATAATAAAATGTCAATTTAAAAAAAATAAAAAAGTAAAAAATAATAAAAAATACAAAGAAATTTAATAATTTATTGGAACCTTAAGCTCTTCTTATCTTTATTAAAAAAAGTACTATTTAAAAAAAATCTCATATCAGGTATAACAATTGACTGTAATTTATTTGATGATTAATTTTCATATATCAAATAAATATATTAATTTAAATAATAATATTAATAAACGCTTTTAACAACAAAACCCATGTTTTGTAAATTTATTTTCGCTTTAGATCTCATGTTTAGTCAGCAAGTATCATAATTTAACAGCAACTGACAGAGATAAATATTTCTTCTCTTTGTTTTTTATACATGAGAAGCAATAATTTATACTATTCTATTAATTTATTAAGTCAATTTTTTTAGGTTTTGCAAAAAAAAAAAAGACAGTCAACTTTTTAGGGAATCAAAATAAGATCCAGGTGGCACTGTTAATTTTTTTAGAGAATATAAAAAAAAGCCAAATTTTTAGGGAATCAAAATGGTCAAAATTTATACTATTCTTTCGTGACAGCAAAGGCCTCCTTTTTTTTTTTTTTTTTAATATTATATATAGGAATGCAGGATACTAAATAGGCTCAGAAAAAATTTGTAGAAACGGAGGTAAGCTGTTCTACGTGTATCTTGTCGGTTTCAAGTGTCCACCTATTCAACCGTTTTATTGTTATTTACAAGCACTATATTTTAGTTTATTTTTCAGTTCTTACTAATTTAATCTTGCACTTCACTCAATTTTAACGTTGCTGTCTTTATTTTAATTGTTTTCCACGATATTCGAGTACATTTTTTTTCTTAGAAATAAATAATAAGTTAATTTAATATTTTATAGGTTAAAACAAGATTAAGAAGCCGACATATATTTTTTTTTCAATGTTAACAAAATAACTGGAATGAAACTAAATTTTTGAGATGATATAATAAATGCGAAGGGTGAATGAAATTTAATTTAAAATTTTTGAATTCAAATTTTATAAAAAAA